AAGAAATTTTTGGTACAACAAGCATCTCCTTTGATGAAGGATGTCTGTGGCAGCTAGGAATGTTTTTCCGTCTTTGATGCTTCCCCCTGTTTCCTCCCACCTTCACTTCCGATTCTCCAGCAGGTGTCTTGAGCCTTCCGATACAGGATGAGGAGGAAGCACCATCTGACTCCACTCCCTCACCACAGGAGAACTTAAATAAGAGGGCTAGCGGGGACTGTCTCCTCTTGAGATCTAGAAGAAAGAGTCCTCTGAGTTGGTGTTAGAAACTGTCTTCTTGTTAAGACACCCGTAAACTTTTCTGATTTTCTTCTTCCTTTTTTTTTCCAATTAAGATGAGGCTAGAGCATAAAAGAACACTTTCCCTGCTGCCAGGATTGGTGTCTAACTCACCCTTCACATCCTTCCTTTGTTCCACAGGTCTCATTAGGCATACTGTAAATGGACAAGTCAGTATTGAGAAAGAACTTTGGCTTTAAAAATATTTACAAAATAGAGAAGTGATAGGAAACTGAGAAGCAAATTTTGTCCTTTAAAAATTAAAAAAATTAAGATGGGCCGAGTGCGATAGTGTAGTGGTTAAGGTCCTCGCCTTGAACATGCTGGGATCATATATGGATGCCTGTTCTAATCCCAGCGGCCCCGCTTCCCATCCAGCTCTCTGCCTGTGGCCTGGGAAAGCAGTCGAGGACAGCCCAAAGCCTTGGGACCCTGCACCCGCGTGGGAGACCTGGAGGAGGCTCCTGACTTCGGATTGGCTCAGCTCCAAACCTTGCGGCCGCTTGGGGAGTGAGCCATCGGACGGAAGATCTTCATCTCTGTCTCGCCTCTCTGTATATCCGCCTTTCCAATGAAAAAATAATAAAAATAAATCTTTAAAAAAACCTAAAAAATAAATAAATAAAAAGAAATTAAGGGGCTGGGGCAGTGGCGAAGTAAGCTAAGCCTCTGCCTTCTGTGCTGGTATACTGTATGAGCACTGGTTCCAGTCCTGGTTGCTCCACTTTCAATTCCTTTCCCTGTTTATGACCTGGAAAAGCAATGGAGGATGGGATGCACCCATATGGAAGCTTCTGGTCCCTGGCTTCTGAGTCGCTCTGCTCTATTTGTTGCAGCTATTTGGAGAGTGAACCAGCAGATGGAACGTTTATTTCTGTGTCTTTTGGCAACTCTGCCTTTCTAATAAAAATAAACTCAAAAGAAAAGAAATAATGTTTTTACAATGGAGACAGAAAACAATAGAGAGGGGGAAAAAAAAGCTAGGAAGACAAGTTCCTATCTACTGGTTCACTCCCAAACTGCTACAATTGTCAGGCTTGGCAGAACCAAAGCCAGGACCCACGAACCCTACCCAGGTCTCCCACTGGAATGGCAGGAATCCCACTACTTGAACCATCACCGGCTCCTTCAGAGAAAGCACTTGAGGAGGAAGCTGGAACCAGGAACAGAGTCAGAATTCAAATGCAGGCACTCTAAATGGAATCCGGACTTCTCTACTCTATGGCCAAACGCCTGCCCCTCCACTTAGGGTTTTATGTTGACCAAAACACCTATGATTAGCAACCCTGCCCTGAACCGAGACATTGATTTGTCAAGGTTCCTACTGAATTGTCCATCGCAGGAAGCTTAATCTGCTGTTTTATTCTTCCGCTAATCTCTTCTGCTTCTGTTGACAAAAGAACCCTGGGGTATTGGGATTCAATATTCAAAACATTGGACAGTGTTTACTGCACCAGTGATAGCATCAGATGTGCTTTGTTTAGGAAGGTAAAACAGACAGTACATTACTATGTGGTGAATTGCCCCATGTGCAAATAAGTTCTTCTGAGGTTATGTTTAAAGTAATTCTGGATACTCCAAGGTGTGGGCATTCCCAAAACTGGTCTGTCTTTTTGTGAAGGTTTACAGAGGCAAGATTGTCCAGCAAAGATCAGAAACATTGCTTCAGTGACATGTTATGTTTATTATTTTTTCTTGTGATTATCTGCCATTCACTGTAAGTGATTTCAGGGTTCCTTTTTTATGCCAGTAAATGAGGTTTTTTGTTATATGTAACCTTTAAAGTTGAAAATAGTGTGTCTTTTAAAGAAAAAAATTGGAACATAATTCAAAATTACACAGGGATGTAGCAGCCAATGGGTGGCATGAGAAATCTGGTACCTGGGAACAGCTGTGGAGGGAGAATGGGAAATGTCATTGCTAAGTGCCTCGTCTAGGGAGATAAAGCACAGGCAAGTGCCCATGGCAGGGTGAGGCCTTCCAGAGAAAGTACTGGAGGTTGTCTTGGGAATAGGGAAGAAAAGATGAAGGAGGAACCTTTGTAAAGCTTAGAAAGTGAAAGATACCCAAATCACTTTTGTTCAAAGTGGCAGCTTGCAAAAGCCCACTTTTCCCTCAAACTGGCCTTCTTCCTACTGGAGAAAGTAATACAGTGTCCTTTAAGGAATGACTGCTCTATTACTCTGCAATACAGTTGAATGTTTTAGCTGTTTCCCGACCTTACATGGTCGTGGATTGCTTCTGTCGCTGTGCCCTGATAACACTCTTCCAAGGAACATCTGTTCAATAAAAACTTCAGCCCGGAATATAGCACTCTGTGAATTAGAGCTGCTAATTCTGTTTCCCCAGTAGCGTTCTGCAGCAGAGACTAGAGACAAATATCGGCGCAGCAACCAGTATTTTATTTTCATTTATCTTTCTTGATCCTCACTTGTATTTTGCTTTCATCTCTCGTTTCCCTTCCTTTTTATGACAGCTGAGTCAAGGTACGATGAACTAATTTATTTCCACATTTGTTCACATCAATTTTCCAAGTCGGGCAGCGCTGGAAATATTCCATTAGTTAACATGATTCTATTACATGAGTCCCTGCTTGAGATTTTTTAAAGCACCTTGGCTGAGCTCATATTCCGTTTGAATGGGCACAGGAACGCCGCTGCTCAAACTTCTAAAATAGACATCAGATCCATTTCCCACTTGCATGGGGCTAGCAATAACCCAGCCGATGAGAAGCAGTCCCAGTATGGGCACACGCTGAGGGCAGTCAGGCAATGCTTTCCCCAGGAATCGTTGATTATCAGGATCTGACCCGAACCATTTTCTTGAGAAAGTTCATTTTACAGTTTTATGATTTGCCTCCCTTCTACTTTTTTCCTAACAGCCTCACTTTTCTATTTCATTTTCCCAGTCCTGACCATCAGTGTTTAAAGAGCTTCCCATCCCCCTTTTTTTGTGGAGTGTATGCTAAAGTGCTTGTTACCTGGAGTGAGATGACCTTGACCAGGAAGCAGCCAGGCTGTTTTCGGAGCCTGCTGGCTTCCTTTATGCTTTACACATAGCTGTGTGTGTTTTGCTGGACAGTGATTGTATTAGCCTGCAAAGGAAAAAAAAAGTGTGTGTGTGTGTGTGTGTGTGTGTGTGTATGTGTGTGTGTGTGTGTGTGTGTGCATACGCATGTGCTGCAGGAGGGGAGCCTTAATGAACCTGATGAGCCCATTTCCGATTTTCATTTTCCTCAGATGTTCAGTGCCTTCCATATGTCTACTGCATGCAGTTTTGTGCATTCATTTTGATTTTACTAACCTTGGAGTTGCCTTTGATGGAGGACATGTGTATTCACTGTATCTTTCACTTACGTTTATGCCTGAAACCCAATTTGGAACAGCTTTGGGACTGAATGGGAAAGGAAAAAAAAAATAGGGAGGAGATGTGTGTGTGTGTGTGTGTGTGTGTGTGTGTGTGTGTGTGTACATGTGTGTTCATTTCAAGGCATATCCAACAAATGTAAGGCTGTCTCATGACCATGTCCAGTAGATTGTTCCTGCTAGTTGAACCCTTTTATGACATTCATGTGTCTGGCCAGCTTCCCAGCCGTGAAGCTACCCATCACATATGGTGTAGTGGATTTGAAGCCTTTCCATTCTGTTTTCAGTGACAATTTATTTCACTCTTTTCCCTTTTTTGTATGAGTTAGGGGTTGACAGTTGTGAGTACATTGGAGGAGGGGGAAGGGTAGGTTTTGAGCCAACACTAATTCGTTGTTCAATGAGCGGCTTTTGACATTTGTTTTCACCTATCTCCACATTTTCAGAGCAAAAGAGAACATACATTCAATTTAGGAAGACCGCTTAATCTCTGGCCCCGCAGGCTAGTGTTGTTAGATGAGATTAAGGGTTTCATGAATGTACCCTCTTTCCCTGGAGATTGCACATTTGCACCAGCCATTGTCAGACAAGCAGAGCTTGATAACAGCTGGCTAGAGATGTGCCCGAGTAGAACAGCAGGTAGTGGGCGGCCTTCCTCCATCCCCAATCACACAAAGTTGGAAGATTGCTTTTGTGTCTTAGTAGAGAGAAGGTTAGCTACTCAGCAGACAAAAGCCATATTTTCACTCATGTAAAACAGTTACACAATGTTTATGTCCAGAGATATCTGTGTTTCCTGTTGTTTGTGTATAGGGTACAAACTCAAAACTCTTCCTATAAAGTATATATATATATTTATATTTTCTTTTTGACATTCCCTGATATAACCATGAAAGTAATATAAATTATCTTGCTTATGGAAAACTAAAGACCAGTTAGATAACTGTCATAAGAATTGTAGCTCAGAAGAAGTACAGCTTATTGAGCTTCAAATGAGATCCTCCAAAGGCTGTTCTGGCTTGAAAAAGATCAGGACCCAGACCACATTTTTGTAGACCGATATCCTTTCACAAGGGATAACTTTAGGTATTATTGAAGTGGAACTGTAGGCCTGTGAAGCCACCAACTCCTGGCTTCAGAGATTAACCTTTTGAGATAAATCATGTACCAAAAATGTATTGGCCAGAATGATAAAGGGTGGTGTGTTCTTGTGCTGAAGAAATGCAAGCCAGCCAAGAAGGAAGACAAGACCATCTTTCTCACTTTTCTTAATTAATAGAAAGTTATTGAGTATTGATATTCCACATAGTTTTATGTTAAAGTGAAATGTACTGTGTTTATTGTTTTCTCTTGTAGCTCCATCATCCATTGCTTTGGTCCAAGCTAAAGAAGTCACAAGATATAGTGTGGCGTTGGCCTGGTTGGAACCAGATCGACCCAATGGGGTTATCTTGGAGTATGAGGTCAAATATTATGAAAAGGTATCTACTGGAATGAGCAACCAACTCTCCTGTCTTCCTGCTTTCCTTCCTTCCTATCTTCCCTCCCCCTCTCTTCCTCTCCTCTTCTTTCTTCTGTTTAGATGCTGTCTAGTCATATTTTGCAGAGTATCAGTGAATCCAATACCAAATGTATTTTGCTTTCAATCAAATTTGATTATGGAGTTTATATTTATCTGGGCACCTTGAAAAATAGAAACATGTATTGTATTCTGGTAAAACTGTATTTTCTCTTTCTAGTAATGGAAACCAAGATACATAATAAGTTCTAATGTATAAACCTATCAGGGAAAATGACTTGTAGAACTGAAATTATAATATATTTAAGTAGATCACAGCTGTTCAGAAAGAAGGTGTGGGTTTTGATGACTTTTAACAGAAAATCGGGGAAGGAAAATTACATTCTTCAGCCTCTTAAAGTTACAGAAAGTCATTATTTTTACAAATAACTTGTCTTTCTTAAAGGACAGAAATCTGAAGAGAGCTATTTGCATTCAAGGCTGTCTGGAAAATGAACAATCGTCTTCACTTTCATTTTAAAAGAGAATCACTTATTTGCTTCCTTATTAAAAGCAGAAAAGGGACTGCTTTTTTTCAGTGCAACCAGATTATAGTGGTTTTGACTTTTTGCAGACAGAAAATACAAGAAGACAAGGGACCTTCTTAGAGTTATTTCATTGAAATTGTTGGGTGTGGAGATTGTAAAGCCATCAGCCATAATTTAATGTTTCTTACAAAAGATATTATGAGTAGAGACCAGCATTTGGTCAGCATCAACTACAATAATGCCTGAACTCCACATTTCTTTCAACACCCAAGAAAGGCAACAGCAGCATGCATCACATCCAAGAGAATATAGGAAGTAAAAGACTTATAAATCTCTACATTCCTTCAACTTCTAGACAGGTAGTTTGGTCCCGTTAATGTTGTTGCTAGATTAAGCAGGGTGTTTATTTGGCTACCTTCACGAGTTTTGTCTTTCTGTACTATAGGATCAGAATGAGCGAAGCTATCGTATTGTTCGGACAGCTGCCAGGAACACAGATATCAAAGGCCTGAACCCTCTGACGTCCTATGTTTTCCATGTGAGAGCCAGGACAGCAGCTGGCTATGGGGACTTCAGTGAGCCCTTGGAAGTCACAACCAACACAGGTAACAAGGATCACTTATTTGTTTCTTTATTAAAACAGGAAAGGGACAGATTTTTTTTCCCCACAAGAGCTACACATTCTAATGTTTGTTGTTGTTGTTTAACTTAGAGTGACTATCATTATGGTAAAATTAAGAGATGCACATTTTTTTGATTAGGAAAACATTTTGTTGCACTGAACCTTGCCTGAAATGGTTCAGGCAATGTCTGCAAAATGGAAAACCTCTTGCCACTAACAGAAGAAGGTTTGTCATGAAAATGTATGATCTCTTTTTCTATGAATGAGCATTGTTGCCGACATTTGTCTTATTTGGAGCATTCTGTAGATTGTGAAAAATGGGATTTTACTAATAGTTACCCTATATTAATATAAGGAATTTTTCCCTGAAAAGATTGAATAAAAGACCCTAAATATCATTTTTCCTGTTTATTTATAAGATTCTGTTTAAATCAAGTGGTATCAGTGATTTTTTTTGACAAACACCAAATCTTTCAAATGTTGTAAATTGAATCAATGAACTAATTGAACTATAGGTACAACTGCATGTGAACGATCACATTCATAAGATAACTCCACCTTGTTGATCAACAATCTGAAATTTAACCTATGTGATAAGGCTATTGTGGGCCACAGTTCTCAACATCAATTCTATAGAGTAATTTTTATTTGCACATTGGCAAGTTTAATAGAACTACGACATAGAGACGAGGTGGAGTTACCTAAAGGGGAGTGACATCTTTAATTATCTACAAGGAGGGAGAGCTTTGGGGGCGGGCAACAGTCTGCAGGGCTTTGATAGCTGTGGAGGAAAGAATGCATGTTTGTCTCTTCTGAAATCTTTTCTGAAAAGTGTATTTCTAAGAAATACATTTGATCATTACTTAAGAGTCAGGGTGTAGATAGCAATGAAAGAAAACACTGAATTTTGTTTATCATAGGATTTAATAAGAGTCTTTGGATTTAAGCTCTTCATACACATACCCAAAGAACATCCTTGCCTCAATAAGGCTATCTTGGAAAATGCTTTTGCTTGATTACTTTACCCAGGGCGGAAGAGTGCAACAGCATGCCTAGTGGCTTTAGAAGTTTGAAGATTGGTCCTCTACTTTGAGGATGTTTTTGAAGGTTACCTGTGTAATTGTTGTTCCTAGTGCCTTCCCGGATCATTGGAGACGGGGCCAACCCCACAGTCCTCCTGGTCTCCGTCTCAGGCAGTGTGGTGCTGGTGGTCATCCTCATTGCAGCTTTTGTCATCAGCAGGAGGTAAGCAATCAGGGCACATTCCTGGTGTGTAGACTTTTGATTAGCATCATCAACATGACTTTCACAACTCGGCTTTCTCCTTGTCGCTTTGATCATCAGCATCCCTATTGGAATGGCTGGCTGTGCTCGGGTTAGGGAGGGGAGAGACATGGAAAGATCCAGGCAATTCCAGGAAACCAAGCTGAAAAAGCAAACCTATCAGAGCCTTCTTGAGACTTTAAGCTGTATAGTGTTATTTTTATCCCTCTTGTAAGCTTGGACTTAACTGCCTAAGGCAGGAAAAGCCTTTGCATAAAACTTTGATCCAAAATTTGAGTTCTCACAGTTACTGAGTATATTACTTAACTTCTGTGACACTTCATTTCTCTTCTATCAGAAACAGATCATCATCATCTTCCTCTACAAATTATTGACAGAACATTGAAAGACCATGTAGATAGTTCAGAGTTCCACAGGTGCTTCAACATGATATTGGCCAACAATAATGAAAACTAAAGCAAGGAGATGGGTCCTCTGGGCAGTATTCCTTGGGAAAAGCATACAGCCTCTGCAGAGAATATTCATTGAGCATATTCTGGGTTTGGAACTGTTTTTTGAAATAAGTGTAAAATATCAGTTTACATACCCTATAAACACTTGCAGTCTAATGATATGCAAAAAACAGAATCCAAAATGGAGTGAAACTAACAATAGCTTGACAGCATATTCTCTTGAACCATTTTTTCTTTATGTTAAGAATTAAGCACTCCCAACTACTCCTGACATCTTATCACCCTGCCTTTCAGATTTTTTTTTTATTGGGAGGAAATGGCCAGGAAAATTTCATCATATAGCAGCAGTAATTTGACCTTGGATTTGTAACCAGTGGTAGAGGTATCCTCCCTAAGCTCTTGGAGTTCAAGGTCCCCAGGTGGTCCAGTTGGCATCCTGGTCATCTGGCTGGAAAGGTCTACAGAGACAGGGTCCTTTAGGCCATGGGATTCAGGGGCAAGGGCTATGGACATCCTGCAGAGGTGGATGTGCTTTTCCTAGGTGGGGGTACAAGTGCAGTAGTGCTGGGCCCATGATGAAAGCTGCAGCTTCAAAAACACCCTTGGCAGAGAGCCATAACTCCTGGAGGGGAATGCTGGGATAATTTTTAGGATAAGAGAGAAAAGGGCTGGCCGGAGCCCAGCAGTAGGATGGGAACCCTTCTTGGAGAGACTCCTGTGGAGTGGGTGATTGGGTATTGAGTCCAGCAGTAGAGTGCAGAGCTATTGTTAGCGCTAGAAAGGACACTGTCGGGCAGTGTCCGGAGTGCAACAGTGATGTGCAGTGTTTGGATATGACTTGGCCTCTGAGATATATGTCAGCTTTCTGGTTTGTAAAATGGGGATTGTGCTAGTATTTCCTTGTTAGGGTAAATCTTTGTAGAAGGGAATGATCAATGATGTGAACTCACACATGTAGGCCTTTTTCCCTTTTGTGTAAGGACCTACATTTTCTCCAGCCTTCCAAAAAGAGAAATCATGTAATATTTGCCTTTCTGTGCTTGGTTTTTCTCAACATAGTAATCTCCAGTTTCATCCATGTTCTTACAAATGATAAGATTTCACCCTTTTTATGGGTGAGTAATACTCTACACACCAGGTTTTTTTGTCCATTCATTAGATGATGAACACTGAAGTTGTTTTCATCTCCTGATTATTGTGAACTGTGTTGCAATAGCTATGGAAATGACAATTGTCTTCCTCTTCTGATAAGACTTAGTCATTTATTTGAAAGTCAGGGTGAGACAAAGAAAAAGGAAGAGGCAAAGGGGACAGGTCTGAGAGACCTTCTATTCTGTAGGTTGTCCCTTTATTGATCGTTTCCTTGCCTATGTAAAAACTCTTTGATTTGATGAAATTCCATTTCCCCATTTTGTTTTTATTTCCTGCATTTTCAGGATCTGATCCCAAAAATTCCTTGCATGTTTCAATGCCATGAAGTGTTCATCCTATGTTTTCATATGTCACTTTATTGTATAATATAGTTAGGTTAATAACCATACATCCAAGTTTTCCTGTAGTCACAGTGTTACGTTTTCTTAATTTTCTCAATCTCATGCCATCTTCAATTGCCAAAATGTCCTGCTTTATAGAAACCAACTATGTTAACAATAATAATAGCACATTATGGCACAACTCTTCGCTCTATGCAGGCATGCAAGTTTGTCCTTGTGTTCTTTCTTTTTATTAAAAAATCTGAGTATCTATGGTTGATGAGATCAGGAAGATCATAGCAGATAAAGTAAATCTATAGTAAATGGTCAACAAACTGGGTATAGTATTTGCATACAGCTAAACACATACAGATGCTGACATGCTCTGTATACACGTATATTTAGGTCTCAGCCGTTAGGAACTTTAGCTTAGCATGAATGGGATTCAATTTTTCCATGGCATTGAATTTTTCTTGGCATTTGAACTTGGTAGTCAATCAGTATGGGCCTCATTGTCCATTGCCCCTCACTTTTTTTGTGTGTATGTGTGCAAGCACTAAGCATTTAAAATCATGAAGAACTATGTGCACTGATATATACTGCTTCAATACTGGGAAGCAAAAGGCAGAATGAGGGTACGTGAAGAAATTATGTTTGCATTTGCCTTCATCATTAGATATTTTTATGCTTGAAACTTTTGCAGTATGTTTAAACAATGTTTGCTATCAGAAAGATTTTGAAGATAGAATACTGTAAAAAGAGAAAAAAAACTCCACCTCAAAAGCAGAATAAAATAAAATCACTTGACCAAAAGCTAGCGCTGTATGTGATTCTGAGAACCATACGGAAGGAAGCTTCTTATTGCATGCCTTGTGCCTCTCTGATATTTGTGTTACACTGGAAACAGTTTCCAATTGAAGTCTAGCCTTGCTGCAGATTGGCTTACAATTTGTTGTCCTTTTCATTTCTTTTATTATTATTATTATTTTAAGTAGTTATACATATGATAAGCAAACCAAGGTCATTAATTAGAAGTAAGTTTCCTCATAAGTTTTAGATGTTCTGCTTAAAACATCGGCTTTGATGAAAAGAATGAGAGAACACATGAAATTATAATGTGGCAAGACAAGATTATTAAAAGGTGTAGCCATAGAAAATAGCATGCTCGAACTTGATGACTTAATTCCCTTTCTGCTTGTATTGATCACTCTATTATATAAGGTGGGATTGATAGCTGAATGCATCGGATTTCCAATTACGAGTCCCCACCCCAGAGAATTGAACCCAGAGAATCGAGTTACCCAGTGATAATTCCTGTCCCTTCTCCCTATTTAAAAAAAAAAAAATGTCACTTCCCATGGCTGATAAACACCGCTTGGTGATTGGTCCTCAATGGATCACTTTTTAGAAAATGAAATGTCAACCCCTTGCCCTCGTATTGATTCTGCTTTAGTGTCAGCCATAAAGCTGTCACAGGAAGGGCTGTCTGGAGCCAGGTAGCTGACAGGCTCGCAGCGGCTGATGCACGCTCAGCCAATTCTTTTCCCCAATGTAGGCTGACTGTTCTTATCTTGAACTAAAAATGTTTAAGTGGGACAAGAACAGGAGGAGAGAGAGGAGACAGGGTGTATGGGCAAAAGACTGGCCCTTACTTTCAGGGAGAGTATAAATGAAATATAGTAAATGGAACCCCCCCAAATCTTACCAGACTTCAGCTAGCAGAATTAGAAAGCAATGATTGAACATCCTTGCCAGTTAAAATCCGAGTACAGTCCTTTGCTGGTGAGGTTGTTGAAGCCAGGGAATCGACCAGAAGCACATCCCCTTAAAAGACTCCCCTTGGTGGCAGGCAAGGTGTGCTGTGATTTTTGTGTTTGTTTTTGATTTTGTTTATTTGTCTTGTGCTATTTCATTTTTCACCGTATATGCACACTATGTGACACTTTACTACTAATCTGTCATTCGAGAAAGAACGTAGCTTTAGGCTTATAGTTGATATCTTGCTGGATTTTTGAATGTGGCGATTCTTTCATTTTTCATGAAGTATGTACTGAGAAACCTAAACTGGGGTCTGGCACAGTAGTTTAGTGGCTAAAGTCCTCCCTTTGCACATGCTGGAATCCCATATGGGCTCTGATTCTAAACACAACAGCCCCACTTTCCATCCAGCTCCCTGCTTGTGGCCTGGGAAAGCAAGTCAAGGACGGCCCATAGCTTTGGGACCCTGCACCTGCATGGGAGACCCAGAAGAAGCTCCAGGATCCTGGCTTCTAATCTGCTCAGTTACACAGCTGCTTGGGGAGTTAATCAACAGATGAAAGATCTTCCTCTCTCTCTCTCCTTTTGTCTGTTTATCTGACTTTCCAATAAAAATAAATAAAAGTAAGTTAAAAAGTGGATAAAAAAAAGACTCCTAAGCTTAAGGTATACAGAATAGTCTACAGTTTTTTTTTTCTTCCATGAGAACACCTACTTTTTCTCTTTTCATCAACCTAAATGTGAAACATTCAAGGATCACAGTTAAGAAAAATATACAATACATAGTCTTTATGTATAGGAACCTTACTGTGCAATAAACCATCACAATTTGGAATAATTTTCTTCATCACTCAAGTTATGATTTCAGGAATCTGTCAGCTTTCCAAAACAAACAATAGTATTTGCTGTCCAGTGCCATCTGGATTATTTTAAGGTATAACACTGTTTGTAGTCCATATAATGTTGCACCTAGAAATTTTATCCAAATGCAAATGCAAAGACACATTATCTTAGCAATAAGTCACCTTTTGCCTATTTATACACCTTATGTTATTTGTGAGCTTCACAGGGTAACCACTTTCTTTATTACCTTTCAGCATTGGGGTTAAAAGGACTGTTAACAATGACATCATAAAATGTGATTGTAAGGCCATAACCTCTTGGCCTAATGATCAAATCAGTGTTAGATTTCTCTGACACCCTCTCCCTTTTATATTAATGATTTCATCAAGTTACTTCCAAAAGCATTCCAAGCTGCTGTTGATTCAGATTATTGTGG